GGACTACAGGTGTGCACCACCACGCCTGTCTGATTTTTTCTGTTTTATTAGAGATAGGGTGATCTTTAACTCCTGAGCTCAAGTGATCTTAACACCCCGGCCTCTGGAGTCCTAAGATTTCACCATGAGCCACCATGCCCGGCCTAAAGGATACTATGTTAAAATAAGACAGATATACAAAGACAAATACAGCATAATCTCACCTTATTTTTTATTATTTATTTATATTTGAAACAGTCTCACTCTGTTGCCCAGGCTAGAGTGCCGTGGCATCAGCCTAGCTCACAGCAACCTCCAACTCTTGGGCTTAAGCATTCCTTCTGCCTCAGTCTCCTGAGTGGCTATGACCACAGGCATTTGCCATCATGCCTGGCTAATTTTTTCTATATATTTTTAGTTGGCCAATTAATTTCTTTCTATTTTTTAGTAGATACAGGTTCTCGCTCTTGCTCAGGTTGGTTTTGAACCTCTGACCTTGAGCGATCTGCCCGCCTTGGCCTCCCAGTGTGATAGCATTACAGGCGTGAGCCACCACCCCCGGCTTCATTTTATATTTTGATAAAGGTATCCATCGATCAGAAAACTATCACAAGTATTACCACATGTGTCTATATATACACACAATAAAACACATAAAATCCTCTGAATCTATCTATGGTGTTGCAAATGAAAGCAGTTTATTGTTTGTTACATCTAAGTAGCATTTTATTGTGTATATACACATTTTCCTTAAACATTTATTTGTTGTCGTACACATTGTATTGATTCCATATCTTTGGTATTGTAAATAGTGCTGCAGTATATGTAGAAGTTCAGATATCTTTCTGACATACTGATTTTCTTTTTTTTTTTTTTTTTTTGAGACAGAGTCACACTTTGTTGCCCAGGCTAGAGTGAGTGCCCTGGAATCAGCCTAGCTCACAGCAACCTCAATCACCTGGGCTCAGGCGATCCTCCTGTCTCAGCCTCCCGAGTAGCTGGGACTACAGGCATGTGCCACCATGCCCGGCTAATTTTTTGTATATATATTTTTAGTTGTCCAATTAATTTCTTTCTATTTTTAGTAGAGACGGGGTCTTGCTCAGGCTGGTGTTGAACTCCTGACCTCGAGCAATCCGCCCACCTCGGCCTCCCAGAGTGCTAGGATTACAGGCGTGAGCCACCGCGCCTGGCCCTGATTTTCTTTCCTTTGGTTATACACCCAGTAGTCAAATTGGTAGATCCTATAGTAGTTCTATTTTTAATTTTTTGGAGACCTTCCATACTGTTTTCTACAATAGTTGTTCTAATTCACAACTGCAGTCCCCCCCCTTCCCCCCATTCTGTATTCCTCACATGCTGTCTGCACATTTTTTTGTCTGATTATATCTATTCTACCTGGAGTAAGCTGGTATCTCTTTGAGATTTGAGTTTGCATTTCATTCATTATTAGTAACATTGAGCTTCTTTTCATGTACGTATTGGCAGTTTGCATATTTTCTTTTGAGAATTGCATATTCAAGTTTTTCATATATTTTTACTTGGGTATATGTTTTGGAGTTTGGGAGGAATTTTTAAACATTCTGAGTTCTTATATGTTCTAGATATTAAGCTGTTGTATACATGTAGGAAAAGACTACTTTATAGGTTTGGGAGCTCTGAAATGTGCTAATACTTGTGATAGCTTCTTGATCAGTGGGCACCTCTATCAAAATATAATGCACTTTTTTGTAATTTGTGAGTTTTTTGACAGGTTCTCATTCTGTCATTGTGGAGTACGTTGGCATAATTATAGCTCACCACACACGACCTCCAGTTGCTGGACACAAGCAATCCTCCTGCGTCAGGCTCCCATGTGGCTGGGACTAAAGCCTTGTGCCATCATTTCCAGCTAATTTTTTGTTACTTTTTATGTAGAGATGGAGTCTCAGTATATTACCCAGGCTGCTCACATACTTTTGGCCTGAAGTGATATTCCCACCTCAGCCTCCCAAAGCACTAGTGTTATAGGTGAGACCCATTGTGCCTGGCCTTGTGACAATTTTTGATGTAAGTTGTATTTTTTCTGTGACAGCATTTGATGTTTCATTCTGTAGTTTTAATGCATTCTTGCATTTTCAGCCCTGTGTCCTTATGCATAAAGTGTTATTTTTGTAAAAATAATATAATTGAATCTTGGATTTTTGAATTTAGGTAAGTTACATCTTTCAATTGATGTATTTATATATGAAATATTTACTGAAAGGGAATGACTTATAATATTGTGTGGTGTTTTTATTTTTATTGTATGTCTTGTAGTAATTTTGATTGTGTTCCTCTCTTACTGTCTTTCTATGTGTTTTATTGTTTTTTGTAGTGACCCTTTTTATTTTGTTACTTCCTTTTGTGTATCTACTTACTATAGTATTCCTGTTGTAGTTACCATAAATGTTACATAAAGCATTCTAAAGTCATAACAATCTGTTCTAAGTTGGTAATTTCAATTGCATACAAAAACCCTGCCTCCTTCTATCCCCCATTGTATTTTATTGACGTCTCAAATTATATCTTATTGTATTGTGTATCCATTATCAGACCCTTATAGTTATTTTTGTTTGTCTTTTGAAGTCTGTATCAGATTTAAAAGCTTTAATGCACTATCATTGTGATAATACAGCATAATACTTGTGTATATAATTAATTTTATCAGAGAACTCTACATTTTCACATGCGTGTTGTTGCTGTCTACCAGTATTTAATTTTTCAACATGAAGAACTGATTTATTTAGCATTTCTTGCAGGGTAGATATGAATTAATTCAGGTTTTGTTGCTCTTGGAAATTCTTTATTTCTAATGCATTTTAAATGACAGGACAGTTATGCAAGAAAAAGTGTTCTTGGTGGGTAGCTGTCATTTTTCATTACTTTGAATATATTATTCTCCACTTCTGTGGCTTGCAAGGTTTTTTTTTTTTTTTTTTTTGAGACAGAGTCTCACTTTGTTGCCCAGGCTAGAGTGAGTGCCATGGAATCAGCCTAGCTCACAGCAACCTGAAACTCCTGGGCTTAAGCAATCCTCCTGCCTCAGCCTCCCGAGTAGCTGGGACTACAGGCATGTGCCACCATGCCCGGCTAATATATATATTTATGTATATTAGTTGTCCAATTAATCTTTCTGGTTTTTATAGTAGAGACGGGGTCTCGCTCAGGCTGGTTTTGAACTCCTCACCTTGAGCAATCCGCCCGCCTCGGCCTCCCAGAGTGCTAGGATTACAAGCGTGAGCCACTGCGCCCAGCCTTGCAAGATATTTTGGTGAAACTTTTTGATCTTACTGGTGTAGATGCCAAATCACTTTTATTGTTATTAATTGAAGATTCTCTTTGTAACTTTCAGATTTCTGATTACAAATTCGTTTTTGTATAATTCCTTTTGTCTTAGTCCTAGTTAGAATTGTCTGAGCCTCTTTAAATTTTATGTAATTTTCTTTCTCACAATTTCAAGGTCTTATCCACTATTTCTTCAAATAGTGCTCCCTTGTGTCTTTCTCTTCTCATCATACATCTGTCATTATCAGTGTAATGGCCTAGTTCATGGTAACTGCTTAGTCCCTTCTGCTCTGTTCACTTTTCCCCATTTTATCTTCTGTTTTGGTTCCCTGAGTCTAATTTTAAAGGATATATTATCAACCTAGTGATATTTTTCTTCTGTTAGATTAAGTCTGCTGTCATCAACACCCTCTAGTGAATCTTTATTCAGTTGTATTCTCTTTTTTTTTTTTTTTTGAGACAGAGTCTTGCTTTGTTGCCCAGGCGAGAGCAAGTACCGTGGTGTCAGCCTAGCTCACAGCAACCTCAAACACCTGGGCTCAAGCAATCCTTCTGCCTCAGCCTCCCGAGTAGCTGGGACTACAGGCATGCACCACCATGCCCGGCTAATTTTTTCTCTATATATTAGTTGGCCAATTAAGTTCTTTCTATTTATAGTAGGGATGGGGTCTTGCTCTTGCTCAGGCTGGTTTTGAACTCCTGACCTCAAGCAATCCGCCCCCCTCGGTATTCAGTTGTATTGTTTATCTCAACTTCATACTTTGTATTTTTATACTTTTGAACAGCTTTGTTAGTAATCTAATTTTCTTTATGAATTCTTTTCTTCCTTTTGTTTAGTTATCTGTGTTCTCATTTAGCATTATGGAGATAAGATGATTTAAATTCTTTTAAATTAATTCATAGATATTTACTTCTTTACAGTCACTTAAATATTTATTTTTGACATTTGGTTTTGCCGTGTTTCTTTGTTTCTTTAATGTCTTGTGGTTTGATTGATTTCATTTTAAAAACAGCTACTTATCCTGTTTTTTTATGGACTGGCTTTGTACAGGGAACAACTAGAATTATTGAGCTGCAGTAGACATTCTCAGGGTTTCTCCAAGGAGTCGGCTATATGCGTGTGTCTTATCTTGACTACTAAGTATGTTTACAGATAAAAGATTCCGTATATTTTTTATTGAAATAATCTTATCTCTTCCTTCCCTTGGCAAATGTCATTGGTAAGTAGCCTCTCTGTTGCTGTAGCAAGCATTAATCTTTCTTCTCAGTGTGTCTAGCCCATCATTTAAAGTATATCTCCATTCCTTTTAACACTCCATATTTAAAAAAGCAATAACCAGGTTATATATAGCCTGAGGAAAACTGAGACCTTTGGACACATGCTCCACTCTTTTCTTTGTTTTTTTTGAGAGTGAAATAAGGACTGGGAAGATCTTTTTCCTGATTCTATTCTGTTCTGATATAGAAAGATAACAGACTTAATTTTGTTTTTCTTAATTTAGCTCTTCTTAGATTTGTTTTCACTGGGAATACAGCAAACTGAATTGTGTTTTTTAAAGCATGTTTTTGGTTAAGTTCACGTATCCATGGAGAAACAAAGGCCTCACGTTTTTGATTCAGTCATCATGCTGTGGTCCTATCTCGGTATCATTTTATATATTTTATTTGTGTAGCACATAGTAAATGTAATTTTTAATGTTTTTATTATCTTTCAGATATATTTTCTCATTTGACCCAAGTCCTGTTGCCAAAGAAGTACATAGAAGTTCCATTCCAAAAAGTGATATTGGGAACATTTGCGAGGTGTGATCTTGAAAATTTGCATATAAAGAAATATTGGGAAAGTGTGAGTGAATGTGAAGCTCAGAATGGATGTTATGATGGACAGAAAAAATGTAGGACAACTATCTATAACAAAAATATCGTGGATAGTGGAGGTCAAGAACACAAAACATTTTGGAACAAAAGTCCATTTATATCAGTTACTTTTGCTGAACCACATGTTTCTGTAGGTAAATATCAAGATCAAGTTTTGGGACATAACATTTATCTGAAAGGACATTTGGAAAATCAAAATAGGGACTTGGTCCACATTCCAAATGATGATTTGGATCAAGTAAAGTATAGAATTGGATTAAATGTTCAGTCACATATTGCTGGAGATCTGAGATTTAAAAATGAAGGGAAGATTTCTAAACATGATCAATTTGATGAGTCCGTTGTTGAAAGTTTATTATTGTTCCACCAAAACATAATACCTTCACCTACCAAAATCAATAATGTTGATGAACATGGAAAAGGCTTCACCCAGTCATCATTGCTTAATCGATATGAGGAAATAGATAACTTGGGAAAATGTCACACTTCTAATAAAACTCTCCTGTCCTTTAGCCAGGACTCTACCCTAAATGATTACCGAGATTTTTATATTGATGACAGAAATAATCAATGCCATAAATCTGAGCAAACCAAAGAAGTTTCTGGTTCTAGAAAACATCAGAAAACTCATTTTCCAGAGAACCATTACAAATGTAAAAAATGCAAGAAAGTGTTTTTTCAATACTCAAAGCTTATTGTCCATCAGTGTATCCGTATTCAAGAAAAGTGTTACAAATATAATAAAGGTGTAGAAGCTGATACCCAGCCTTCAAAACATACTCAGCCTCTGGGAAGCTATTTTGGAGGAAATTCATACAGATTGAGTAAATGTGAGAAAATCTTTAGTCCGTCATCAAATCAAAGAGAACATAACATGATCTATACTGAAGAGAAACTCTACAAATGTAAAGAATGTGGCAAAACCTGTAACCATATTTCACAACTTATTCAACATCAGAAAATTCATACTGGACAAAAATTGTACAAATGTGATATTTGTAGCAAATCCTTTACTCGTTCCTCAAGTCTTATTATGCACCAGAGAATTCATACGGGAGAAAAATTGTATAAATGTGATACGTGTAGCAAATCTTTTACTCACTCCTCAACTCTTACTGTGCACCAGAGAATTCATACGGGAGAAAAATTGTATAAATGTGATACCTGTAGCAAATCTTTTAGTCACTCCTCAAGTCTTATTGTACACCAGAGAATTCATACTGGAGAAAAATTTTACAAATGTACTACATGTAGCAAATCATTTACTTATTCTTCAAGTCTCATTGTGCATCAGAGAATTCATACTGGGGAGAAACCCTACAAATGTAGAGAATGTGGCAAAGCATTTTACTGTAGTTCACACCTTACTGAGCACCGGAGAATTCATACTGGAGAAAAATTTTACAAATGTAAAACATGTAGTAAATCCTTTACTCATTCCTCACATCTTATTGTGCATCAGAGTATTCATTCTGGAGAGAAACCCTACAAATGTGACAAATGTGGCCTGTCTTTTGTGTGTTCTTCAACCCTTAGGCGACATCACAGAATTCATACTGGAGAGAAACCTTATAAATGTGATGAATGTGGTAAAGCCTTTAATCAGTGCTCTCGGCTTACTATACATAAAAGGATTCATACGGGAGAGAAGCCCTACAAATGTAAAGAATGTGGTAAAGGTTTTAAAACTAGTTCAGAAGTTACTCAGCACCAGAGAATTCATACTGGAGAAAAACTTTACAAATGTACAATGTGTACCAAATCCTTTACTCGTTCTTCATATCTTATTTTGCATCAGGCAGTGCATACTGGAGAGAGACCCTACAAATGTAAAGAATGTGACAAATCCTTTAACTATTGTTCACTTCTTACTCAGCACCAGAGAATGCATACTGGAGAAAAGGTTTACAAATGTAATACATGTAGCAAATCTTTTAGTCATTCTTCAAGTCTTATTGTGCATCAGAGAATTCATACTGGAGAGAAACCCTACAAATGTAAGGAATGTGCCAAAGCTTTTAACTCTAGTGCACATCTTACTCGGCATCAGAAAATTCATACTGGAGAAAAATTTTACAAATGTAATGCATGTAGCAAATCTTTTACTTATTCCTCAAGTCTTATTGTACATCAGAGAATTCATACTGGAGAGAAACCCTATAAATGTGAAGAATGTGGCAAAGCCTTTAACCAGTACTCAAACCTCACTAAACATAAGAGAATGCATACTGGAGAGAAACCTTACAAATGTGAAGAATGTGGCAAAACCTTTACCTGTAGATCATACCTTACTCAACATGAGAGAATTCATAGTAGAAAAACTCTACAGGTCTGACAAATAAGGAAATAATTTTATCTAAAATATACTACTTAGAAACCACCAGAAATATCATAGGGAACAAAACTTTCCAGATGCAATAAATGGAAGGAAGCATTTACTGAAAGGGGAACTCTAATTGAATTGGGATTCGCAGAACGACTAAACCATTAACACTTTGAAATTGTAGACCCAAACAAAATATTTATTACAGAGGCTAATCCAAATCTAAGACAATTATATAATTTATTCATGTACTTCACAGATGCAAAAAAGTTGATACTTGGAGATGTATAGTTATTCCATACTTTGGCAGTATTGACAGTATTTGAGTTTTTTCAAAAGCAGCGATTATTGCCTAATTCAAATGTCAATTCAGTTGATGCTATGCCTTAATTTCTAGTGTTCATATGATAACACGTGGTCTTTTTTCCTGCATCGGAACCATTAGATGCCATTCTATATTATGTGAATATCATTAATTAATATCAATTTTTGTATGGATGTATAATTACAGATCTAAAACTTGAAGAAAATCTAAAGAACAATACAGTTTGTGACTTATAAGGCATTCATGCATGCAAGCATATGGCACGTGTTCTCAACATTATTCTTCTGAATTAACTAAGAGGACCAATGTGAATTTTCTAAATAAATGATCTTTCCACTTGCTCCGTAAGTGGAGAAAACTTGCCAATTAATCAAAATACCGAGATATCTTCATTTTAGAATGAAGTATAAGTCTTGAGCATTATTTGGTGTGCTAGAAGACATGGTAGAAGTGTTGCATGTTATTTAATGTGATAGAAATATATGTCTGTATATTTCCATAGATGTCAGTGAAAAGTGATGATTTCTTCTGTCTGGAATGTAGCAAATGTATTTCTATCCAACATTAACATAGCCTCGCTCTTTTTTTTTTTTTTTGTTGCCCAGGCTAGAGTGCCATGGCATCAGCCTAGCTCACAGCAACCTCAAACTCCTGGGCTCAAGCGATCCTCCTGCCTCAGCCTCCCGAGTAGCTGGGACTACAGGCATGTGGCACCATGCCCGGCTGATTTTTTTTCTATATATATCAGTTGGCCAATTAATTTCTTTCTATTTATAGTAGAGACGGGGTCTCGCTCTTGCTCAGCCTGGTTTCAAACTCCTGACCTTGAGCAATCTGCCCGCCTCGGCCTCCCAGAAAGCTAGGATTACAGGCGTGAGCCACAGCGCCCGCCCAGCCTCACTCTTTTTAAAGAAGGAAATCACATGCCTAAGTTTATTATATCCGCAGAAAAATAATGTTTCTGAAGTTCTTCCGACTGTGTTTTAACAAGGGGACATATAATGGATATTCAGATGCTTTTTATAAACTATATTTGAATATAACTTATTTTTGTCAATGTAACTAAATGATTTTTTAAAGTTTAATACTGATGTTTTATTAAGGAATTGTTATCCTGTCTGTGATTAATCTTACATTATATTATCATATCTAAGACTGGTTAACATATAGACATAATACTTTATTGAAAGGCAGAGTGGAATTATTTCTGTAATCCTTTTTCCTGCAGGCTTAACATTTCCATAATTGGGGGAGTATTTTGTCTTAGTCCCTATTTTGTATTTTCTGCTTTTTGTAATCATTGGGGATATTGTGGTAGTTACAATAAAGATTTTATGGAAATACAATTAGAAACCATAAATCTTAGATCCTAAATCACTATTTATGTAATTTAATTCCGTGATTTTTTTGCACATGCTTTCTAAGTGGGTAAAACGTATGCATAAAATTTTAATTTCATTTACATGGTATGCAATATACAAATATTACATCAAACTAATAGTTCATATAATCTAATCATGCTTTGAAAATAATTTGAAGATATAAGTGGTGATACATTTAGTTATGTTTTATTTAACTAATACATTTTGTCCATTTTCAGTTGAAGAATGAAATTACTTAAAGCAAGCATCTTCCTGTTATTTCTATTTTAAGTGGCATCCTAACATGTACTGATTTTACTAGGCTGTTTCAGGTAGAACCTGGGATGCTTTGTAAATAATGCAGTTTTTTTGACATTTTTATAAAAGTAAGAAACACACAGGACAGTGCTCTGTGTGAAATAGATTCTTCATAGTTTGGAGGAAATTTTTCTTATTTGAGTGAGTTTATAGACGTAGGTAAGAGACTGGAATGTCCAGAGTGGAATATTGGCGTCAGTTCTGCATGTGCCTACAGGGCATCTGTTGCCAGGGTGGACAGCTGACTGACTGAATGTAGAAAGAAAAACCTTCCTTATACAATTTTGGGACCATCTCCAGCTTTTCGCTCTGTCCTTTCTTTTTTCCCGGCCTACATGTGCACCATAGCCCTTCTCCTTTTTTGCCTCTGTTATGACTACTTGGTTCTCACTGCTCTCCTGTGTCATGTGACCTCACACAAGACTTTGTTGTGAGGATTGGTTTGTATTTTTTTGTAATGCGGTGATAATTTGTTTCTAACCAGAGAGTCTGAAGACATGTATTAGTTTTATGCATGCAATATAGACCCCTTAATTTAAATAAGAGGAAGGTGGTGCCAATAGCCCAGAGGATTGAATGGCCTAGGCAGTGAGCACTGTGGTGGATGTGGAGACAGAAACGACACAATTGTGGTGTAGCTCTCAGAGACGTGGATGAAACTTACTGAAAAATATATGTGGGAAATACTTTTGAGATGTGAGAAGGTTGGAACTGAGCACACAGCACTTACTCTGAGTCATAGGGTGGTTATAAGTGGTGTCATCTCATGGACAAAAGTGACATAGATGGAGTGGGTACTTTGGGAATATTGTCAGTTTCTGATTGTCAGCGTAGAGGACTCTGTCCCCATGGTTTAGAAATACTAGGCAGTTGTGCAGGCCAGGTGCTGTTTCGAGTTTCAGATTTTTGTTATTTTTCAGCCCTCAATCAGTTTTAGTGGGAAGTAGATGGGGTAGTGGATGAGTTACGTTTTGTGAGCATCGGTTCAAAATGCGAAGTTGTCAGCACAGATGTTTGAAAGGAAGGTGTCTCTGGGAGACCGTGCTGGGCAGAATGAGCAAGGTGTGAGCCACAGTTACACACGCAATCCCAGTCGCCCAAGGAGCTGTGTGTGTAGCCCCTGTGTACTTACTTATGTAGGGTATAACCCCACTTCAGTTACGTCTGCCGTAGGTGGGTGACTGTCCGGGAAAGCTGACCCACGGGTCGCACGGACCCCTCTTATTTCCTCTCACCCCATCGGTCAGTCATGCCATCCTGGCTCTGCGGCGCTGGGGAGGGGAGGGAGCGACGGGACGGTCTGATGTGTTGGACGTTTTTGCCTGAAACGCTGTACCCAGTTTTTAGGGTAGAAACCTCCATTTTCTTTTACAGCCTATGTTCTTTCACCCAGCCTGTCTAGAATAGAAAGTGGATTGTGAATTGTGGAAACAGGTACAACGAGGTTCAGTTTCAGGTTATGTTCACACATTTCACATTGGCATGATTGAAATATAATGCACCATCTTCTGTAGGTATTAGTTTGTGTTCAGCTATACCAAGAAAAGACTGTCGGGTAGTATCAGAATAAAATACGCATATTTTGTCTTATGTGCATGGTGAGCATGTAGCAGCACGGGACTGCTCAAGTAGTTCACTGACTTCAGGGGGTGCCAGTTTGTTTCCATTTCCTGTCTCTGATATAGGAGTTCAAAACCAGCCTGAGCGAGAGCGAGACCCTGTCTCTACTAGAAATGAAATTAAAAATAAAAAAAAGAAAGAAAAAAAAAATCAAACTCCTGACCTCGAGCAATTCGCCTACCTCGGCCTCCCAGGGCACCAGGATTACAGGCCTGAGCCACCACGCCCAGCCTGTTGTCATTTCTTTTCACACTGTAACACTCTCATACCAAACACACGAATAGTCAATTGACTATGCCCTTGCATGATGTCATCAAATTTGCCCCGTGCTGGCATGCAATTTGAAAACCACCCACCTGTCAAAGCAATGAAAAGGCAGCACTTTCACCAGTTACCACTTCAGTACTGATAACTAAGAGTCAGGCTACAGTCCTGTGCTCACTGCATGTATTGTGGTCACCATGACTGAATGCTTGGAGTAGCCATGTGAAAATTTATTCTTATTCACCCTTCTGGAACAAGCCTAAAAATAGTCTTTTGTGAAACCACAGAAAGGAAGGGGACTCTCACCCTGGGAAAAATGAAGCAAGATTGAGTGGCACTCACTGGAGGCTTAGGTAGTGCTCTCCAATGTGGCTTTCTGGGCTTCTGAATTTTTCCCAGTAACAACCCACGTGGTCCACACTATCAGTCATCAAATGGAGACAGTACCTGAAAGCTTCAGGTTTACATAAGTAGAAATCCAAATTATGCTAAGGTAATTTTTACAGAGAGAAAGGAGAAAGGCAATCGTGTTCTAGCCTTAGATCCAGAAACCTAACATCAGAGAAGTTATCCTTAAATATTTCCACTGCCACTACTGCTACTGCCCATGCCTCTGTCTCAACAAATATTCTGATCCTCAGTGTTAATAGTTCAGGACAGTTTTCTTCGTGTTCATGGACCAACTCAGTTCTTCCCACTTTCTCACTTGTAATTCTATGGTATAACCACAGATTGGCAGGGCATGGTGGCTCACACCTGTAATTCTAGCACTCTGCAAGGCTGTAATTATCAACTATGATTTAGAGGAAAAAAGGTATATGGGGTGGGAGGGAGCAAACCTGCCTCTCTATAAATATAATCACCTATATGATATAAATATCAACATATTAGATATATTATCTATGTGACATAAACATATTTGTATTGTTTGTATTACATGATATATGATCTGTGTATATGTAGGAACTATATTTCTCAGGAATGGAGAAAGGACACACACCACCAAGCATTATGATTTTGTGGCCAGATATTTATGAAGACTGGGTCAGTGTTCTGGATGAAGGAAAGGATAAAGATGAAATTGATATCATGGAATGGTAATTTTTCTATTTTTTTCATGTCTTAAAAAATTCTTTTTATAAAAACTTAAAAACTCTAAGTCTATTAAAAATCAAAGTACTATTTACAATGTCCCGTTTGGAAGATTTATGCTAGCTCATCACTGTGACTATCTCGTCCCTAATCCTACTAACATGGACTACTTGGAACATTGTACACCTTCAGTATATCTGAATTGATAGGAACTGTAATTCAATAGTTCACTAGGTAATACTATAGGCCCAGCCTACAGTTTAATATAGTAATTTTTGTAAATATTTAAGTAACCAGATAACTCGTTACATAATTCATTCAGGAACTGAAGTCAAAAAGAGAAAATGACTCATTCCTCTGTTCAAGCAATTGAGTTTTCTAGAGTAAGGACAAGTCAAGAATTACCATAATATTGCAGTATAACCCTGCCATAAAAGAGATATTCATTAGGCCTTTAATCCTAGCACTCTTGGAGGCTGAGGCAAGCAGATTGTTTGACCTCAGGAGTTCGAGACCAGCCTGAGAAAGAGCAAGACCTTGTCTCTACCAAAAACAAAAAAAATTAGCCCGGCATGGTGGCACATGCCTGTCGTCCCAGCTACTCTGGAGGCTGAGGCAGGAGGCTCACTTGAGCCCAGAAGATTGGGGTTGCTGTGAGCTAGGCTGACACCATGGCACTCTACCCCGGGCAACAGAGTGAGAAGCTGTTTCAGAGAACAAAGAAAGATATTCAGAGACTCCTCTTGGAGCACAGCACAGAATGTTAACTCCCTGAGAAATATCAAGGAAAAACAGTTGCAAAGCCTCAGTCTGATCAAAAAGTGTGCACTGTTTCTACTCAAGCAAGGGGAAATTGCTTGGAGAACTAAGCGCCCCAATTCCTGGGTATTTCTTGCATTAGAATAGAATAGAAAACAGATGCCCATTAACAAAAGG